CAAAGCAGAGTACCAGAAAACGCCATGACTACTACAACAACTTTCCTTTCCGGAATGGAAATAGGAACAAATAGCCATGGAATTCTTAACGAAGTTGCCAAAAACTTCGAGCGGTTATGACACCATTTGGGTAGTGGTTGACCATTTGACTAAGTCCGCCCATTTTCTAACCACCATGGAAACTGACAAAATGGAGAAACTCACCAGAACGTACATCAAGGAAATAGTCAGACTGCACGGAGTGCCAATATCTATTATCTCGGACTAAGATATCAGATTCACTTCTAGATTTTGGCAAACGTTGCAGGGATCGCTAGAAACCAAACTAGACATGAGTACTGAATATCATCCTCAAACAGATGGATAGAGTGAAAGGACAATACAAACTTTAGAAGACATGCTCCGCGCTTGTGTGATAGACTTTGGTAATGCATGGAATATCTACTTACCACTAGTCGAGTTGTCATATAACAATAGTTATCACATCAGCATCCAGGCTCCCCCATTCGAGGCCTTGTACGGACACAAATTCCGTTCTCTATTATGATGGACAGAAGTTAGAGATACTCAACTGGATAGAAAGAATGTTGGAGATACCTTACGTATTGGCCCCGAAATCATTTAGGAAACTACATAAAAGATTGTTCAGATCAGGGAACGGTTAAAGGCCGCACGTAGTCGTCAGAAAAGCTATGCTAGCGTAAGGCGTAAACCCCTAGAATCCGAAGTAGGATATCGTGTTCTACTGAAAGTCGCACCATGGAAAGGTGTAATTAGATTTGGAAAGTGAGTTAAGCTTAATCCCCAATACATCAGAATTTAAAATTCTGGCAAGGGTAGGTCTGGTGGCTTACAAACTCAAGCTACCTCAAGAACTCAACAAAGTTCACGATACCTTCCACATGTGTAACCTTGAAAAAAGTATGTTTGAAGAAAACCTTGTCATTACCCTTGATGAGATCTAGGTCAACACCAAACTTCACTTTGTAGAAGAACTGGTGAAAATCATGGATCGAGAAATCAAAAGCCTCAAACAAAACCGCATACATATAGTAAAAGTCCGATGGAACTCTCGCAGAGAGCCGAAATTTACTTGGGAACACGAAGATAAGATGAAATAGAAGTAGCCACAACTGTTCAGCGGTGCTCCCTCTACTAGTGGAACAAAATAGTAGTAGAAACGAAATAATTTCGGGACGAAATTCCTTTACCGGGAAGGTAACCGTGACATCCCGAAATTTAGGTATAAATCTGTAGACAGTCAATTTACCGCGAACCACACTATAGTAGGACGTACGACATAGTACCTTGGTGACTTGAAGTATAAATGAGACCATGTTACTCATAAGTGCCTTCGAGATACCTCAAAACGCTCGAAAAGTTGACCATCGTCATCAAATAGGAAACTGTTCAAAAATCGGTGAGATCTGATGCCCTAAAAATCAAATTTTCTCCCATGGATGATAAAATTGGATAGAAAATGTTCTCAAGATTCCGTGGATATAAAGAACGTCCAAAACGGAGATCGTATGAGAAAGTTATGCATGTTTTAAGCTTTTAAACAGACATATACCTGATTTTACCTGGCACCGGACACTACACAGCTCAGTTTGAGGTAGCTACACATCTCATAAATAAATTTTGAACTTGTTTCTGAACTCGGGTTTTGGTCTAGTATTACGAATCGAAACCCGGTGGAAGTGAAACTTTGAACGTCGTTTCAGGGAGATCCATATATCGGATTCGAATTTTGTTTGAATATTTGATATCACCGCGACCGTGACTTTTTCCAGGTACTTTCAAAATAATTTTTACGAGCTCTGAAATCAATGCCACGTAAATCGAGGCACCTTGTGTGTGGGATAAATCAAAAGGGACACAAAGGACATGCTTGCACACATGCTTAAAGAAAGGGTCACCTTTGACCAAGGTTCTAAATAACGTAAGGCGTGACTTGACGGCAATGTCAAGCCTCAAGCTTTTCCGAGCCTTGGCGAGTCATGGCGTTTGTAAGGCGTGACTTAAGGCGGCAATATTCTATATAATTAATATTTTTAGATGTATTTTCAACTATTATTCATTTTTATACAGATATATGAGTTAAGGCGGCGTTTTAACAAAGCTTGGCGGCAAGTGCAAGCCTTGGAGCCGTGGCGCGCCATGGCGGAGCCATGACGAGCTTTTTAGAACCTTGCCTTTGACCCATGACAGGTCAACATCACTTTGACCCATGAAAATTCAACACCCATAATTCCTTTTTTTATTTACTCCCCATACGATGCACCCTCTCTCTAACAATCTTTCTCTCCCTCTCTTCTCTCTGTTACCACTACGAATAGCCACCACCACCTTTGTTACTTCTCCTGTGTTCGTCGACCATAACACCCCAACCACTCACTGATTTTTGTTGCTTGTTGTCTTCCTTTCCTTCACTACCGAGAAATACCACCACCACCAAGGGTGTTGATGCTGCTGTTGTAACCACCAAGAACCACCGTGGTTCTCCATCTCTTGTTACTGATCGAAATACGCTACCAGACGACACCCTCTGCCACCTTTCCTCGACACTCTCTCTCGTTTATCGCTTCTCTGACGAAGAGAACCACCATAGCCGACTGTGGCAGCCCCTCCGCATCCCCATATCGTAACCCACCACCACCAAACATCCCGACATCGTTGCTTCTTTCCTTTTGGTTTCCTTCCACCGTGTGCTGCCAAACAGAAGAGAGACGAGGCACTTAGGGCCGTCGCTACCACCACCACCCTCCTACCATCGTTGACCACTCAATTCACGCCACCGCTGTTGAAAGTCCGACCACCGCCATTTTGCTGCCACTATGAGTAAATCGGTCACGACCAACTTTTTGTTTTTTTAGTCGATTGCTTCCCTTGTTCATAAGAGACGGTATTGTTCAAACTTATTTTAATTTTATTTAAATTCATCCCTCTAGTTGTATCATCTTTTCAAATTAGTCCCTCTTTTCAAACTTGGAATTAAAATAAACAGTTTAACCCCCTCTTTGTAAATGTTTCACAGATTAAGTTCCTTTCCCCAAACTTTGGTTTAGAATAATTGCTTTAGCCCCTCCTTTGGTTAAGTTTAACAAAAACAGTCCCTTTAATTAATTATTTTAGGAAAACCACCCTATACTTAGTAATTAATACCAAAACTACCATTTGGTTTTATTAGGTAACATAAATAGACCAGGCGGATCGTTTTAAACGTAAGTAACATCACGTAGTGGGTTCTCACGACAAGTTTCATACCACAAACCTAGTTCACGCTACAAATGTGAGTGCTTATGACCCATTTTTAACGTTTTTAGTATTTTGGGGGTGAATATATATGAAAAATGTATATCTATTATGAAAAACGCATGTTGAACTCATATTTAGCTTAAATCGATATTTTGTCAAAATTATATATCATTTAATTTTTATCATGACATACGCATGTCATAGTGGTTTAATACATGTTATAACTAGAAAAGATAACTCATATGATGCATGTCATAAATTATAAATCATAAGAAAATTATGATTTTACTATGTAATGCGTATCAAAAAAAATATGTGTTACAAATATTTATCAACTTTGCATTATTTAACCAATATCATACATAGATTTGTACATATGTTAAATGGATATGTATAAATTATTACATTTATATATTGGAATTTATTCACGCAGTTGAGAAACTTACTATTTATATAAGCGAGTAATATATACTTTTATGAATATAGCGAACTTACTCAACTTTTATAGAACAACTATATCGTATACATTAGTTAATCACTTTTATAGTGAGACACTATTCATTACCTAAGTTTAACCACTTAGTATACCCATTCGGCTATAACCGTTATTCCTCGGAGCAAGATACGTTGTATATATCTATACGGGTTGACACCCCACCTGTGGTTACTAGCTACAACCTCGACAGAACAATCGAAGTCGGTGATAATTATCTTTTTTCATTTTTCCACGACGTCCAATGAAGCGTCGTAAGGGGTTATATCTACTCACATAGCTCGGTTATAGGACTCATTATAAGCATTAATTGGATCATTTATCTAGAAACCATGAATTCGGTTTCTCTCTTTATAAAACATTATAAGTATGTATTTACTTATGATTTATCTATCTATCAAACATTTTAAGTATGGATTTACTATGATTTATCTCTTTATCAAACATTTTAAATATGGAATTACTTATTATTTATCTCTTGGTCAAACATTTCAAGTATAGATTTACTTATGATTTATCTCTTTATCAAACATTTTAAGTACGTAATTACTTATGATTTATCTTTTGGTCAAATATTTCAAGTATGGATTCACTTATGATTTATCTCTTTATCAAAAATGGTTTTAACTACAAGGGAAATACTTTTCAGACATTTTAAAAGTATGATTAATACGGTTAGCAGAAAACCTTTAACTCTCACCAATCTTTGTGTTGACCCTCAAACTACATTTATTCTGAGGAGATCATTGAACCAGGCTTTAGCGGAAGAAATTTTCATGGAATTCAAGGCACCGTAGTTTTATATAGTTTTTGTTATATCAGCCTATTTGTTAAGCAAAAATTATGAACTTATTATTATTATTTGTATCAACTATGTATTCGAACCTCAAAGTAGAATATAACTGTTGTGTTGTTATTGTTGTAACTTGTGATGTATATTCAATTTCTTTGTGATCCATGTACTATGTCACACAGCTCGACGTGTTTCGCCGCCTCGGTCGGGGGTGTGACACAAAAAATCAAAAATAATCTTGAATGTTTGAATATAAATTATTATAATAGTAGAAAAGGTCGAAGACATACATCATGCCAAAAGGGGGTGGTAAAAGATTTCATGTTGAATAATGGTAGATATTGAACCATAAAGAGGAAAGGACAATAACTTGTGGAATTATAAGAAAATTGTTCGCATTCAAAATTGTTAAGAAACTCTGACATTTCGTCCCAACATAGCTGAAATACCATAATTGCCCCTAGATCTTGTGCATTTTAAAAATATATTTTTTGATTTTTTTTTCCTTCGTTTCTATAGGCCTGACAAATCTTTTAACAAAAGTATAAAAAAATGAAATATATTTACAGATTAATGACACAGTTTGTCTATACGATGCTTAATAAACAATGAAAAACTTGTGAAAGAATATTCTATTATCCATGGTGCCTTATGATGCTTATCTTCCAAAATTATTTTGTATGAAAATCTTCTTGGTTTTGGTAACAAATGCATCCCTCTAAAAGATCAAAAGAATTTAAATATTCATTATAATTAAGCAGTATAACTTGTTGCTTCATAGTAAATAACAAAGCAATAAACAAAAAGACTTTTGTGTACTAACCTACCGAGCAACAACTTGTTGTCTTCTCCATTTTATCCTAAAGGAAACAAAGAAATTAGAAAACATTACCATTAATTGAAATGAAAAGAGCCATAAAATAAACATATATTAGGATTAAGTGCTAACAATGTGTTAACTGATGAATATTATAACGATCTCAGTTCTTCATAGGGACATTACTCTTTTTATAATATCACAAGATCTTCTTTACTTCATATTTTCCATGTGTCACATAACAGAGTAAAAAAAAGCTTCATTTTTATTAAACTGATACAATAAGCATGTACATGCAAAACATCTTTCCTTTGAGAAAAATCAAGTAACTATCATGATTTGTACAAAATGAGAGACCCAAAAAAGAACAGATCTGAATAAGGAAATAGTACAAAAGGTTTTTCCTAGTCAAAATTTTCTAAAGAATACATGTCCCTAGGAAAACAACCGCTTGTACACCTTTATGTAATGAAATATAAAAAATAAAATAAAATAATCCAAAGACACTTGCAGATAGAAAATTAAGCTGTGTTCATTTTTTTTCCTTATTTCAAGCTGTACCAAATGGTACCTTCTTCCCTTTCTTCCCCTTATATTGAATATGTTACCGGATTCGTTTAGGAAAACAAAAACCTGAGAATCAAAATAGATAAACACAAACAATTATATTTTTTTCAAAGATGCTTTACCCTGAGAAGCAAAAAATCATGTCACGAAAGAGAGAAATCTCATCCTTGATTTCTTAGCAAGATGATCCTTCTATAGCATGAAGTCTTCTCCCAACATCCAGGGGTTCATATCCAGATATGAAAAGGGTAAATCAATAATATTTCAACTCTACAACACCTGCAAGAATTTCAAACACAAAAAAACGTGTTTTAAGATCTTATCCAAGTTTTGACATATTTAAGAGCAAACTAATAAAAATTTCCAGAAAAGAAACAATTTTTTTGCAGAATAAATCAAAACCAAAATATGATGAAATGATTATTGTTCCTGCAATTATATACATACCATCGTTACGTGTTTTAAATAACCAGTTAAAGAAAATACAAACGAAGTAGGAAGGTCACCGGATTCTGGAGGTGAGTTGCTACATTTTCCCTAGTAATTCCATATAGCTAGTGCATAATTTAGAAAAAAAAAAAAAAAAAAAACTTTTAGTCAAATTTTATATAAACCTACCGTGTAAAATTACCAAAAAGGATTAACTCTCAATTCCAATTGGTTAACAGCAACAACAAAATTTCTATGAAGATCATTTGAGCAAACAACATGAGGCTTCTTTGGGGGAATAAAAAGGTAATTACAAATCTAAAATTTATAAAAATGATTGATTACAGTCTACAGATGCATAAAACAGTTGGAAGAAAAGAAGGTCAAGGAAATCAACTCTTTGCAAGCATCCTATAATTGATCAATGGTGAAAAACCTTGTTTTTACACATCAATATTGCAAAAAGGACACCTGTATCAGCAACATCTTGCAAAATGGCACAAGCAGTTTGCCTTGTGGTGTAAGCAAGTGGAAGACAAGTGTATGCATGAAGAAAAGTTGCAGGGTTCCTGAATAATTTAATAAAGATTCAGTTAAAATCATCAAGATTCAAGAATGACCACTATGCCCTTGGTTTAATGAGAAACCAGACCACCTGAAAGAGTGGATGAGAGAAGAAAAGACGGCGTCTGTCCCTCCAAGCAAAGGAGTCATGTCAAATTTAGAGTTTTTTTCAAAACATTTGTCGATAGATCTTGTGAGAATAAGTATCATCTGCAGAAATATAATGGATGTGATAATTGGATTATAAATAATAATTAAGATTAAATAATTAGATTAGATAAACTATTACCTGACCATAAAGAAGTTCGAGTTGTCCTCTTAGTGACTCATAAGGCTCCTCTGTACAACTTATGCAAACTAAATAAATTGGTCCTTTCACAAGGAAAACTACCTCTAAAAGAATGGATAAATAAAAGGGTATACTTATTTATTTTTTATATAATTTACTTGAAGTTTCATACATGAAAAGTAGAAAATGTCATGTCTTTTTATTACTGACCTGGGGTTTTCCTGCTCTGACCAATTTAACACGGTCTCCCCTGAAATAGATAAATGAAAGAAACTATTTGATCACTCATTTTGTTTTTAAAAAAGTTAGGAAAAAAATGAGAGTGTAACTAATAGGACTAAATGTGATTACATAGCTTATAGATGTTAATATATTTACCCCATTTTCCACAAAGGAAATGATGGCTTGCAAAGTTGCTGAAAATCCTGCTAGTTTGTGCTCATCTCCATATCTGAAAGTGAATTCAAATGGTGTGATGATTCACTCTATATCTATATAATTTGATTTGATTCATGAAGTAAATGACACCAACTCTTTACAAGGTATAATCTTTCAAAGAATATTCATATAACCCAAAAACTGATGAAAAGATGCATTAGATATTAGCTATACTCCCAAATTGAAAATACACATCATAGATATTGACTAAGGGCTAAGGCATACCTTGGATATATTGGTTTACCAGAACGACTCAAAACAAAGAAATGTTTCTTCCTTTTCCTCCACGAGATAGAACCATCATCTTGCACTTTATCCATTATCAGTTGAAATGCATTACAAACTGCAATTTTGAAATGCATTACAAACTGCAATTTTAAAGAGAACAATGAAAAGAAAAAAAAAAGCGTATACCTGAGAAACCGGTTGTGAAGTAGGCAAGGGAAAAGATCATACCCCAATAACACTAAGCAATCCCTTCAATGCCCAGAATGCACACTTTGTGTGAGACGTAACGACAACACACATCAAGAAAAAATTCAACGTCCAAACATAAACTCTACCCCAATATCACCATCACGTTTTCATCTGTTGTGGTAAGATATAAATTGTTCCGGATCGTAAAAGCCTATTTTCGGTGTTACCATGCTTTAGTTAGGATGCAGAGACCAAAAGAAGCAAACAAAATAACATTAATATCTGAAATTTGAATCCCAACCCAAAATCAACAAAACCCCAGATAATGATTCCTCAAAAACAACAACACTCTAACAAACAAATGAAACGGAGCTGATGGAAATTCAACAACAGCAGATGGTAATTTAAGGTTTAATGTAGAAAAAATCTAACCCACTAAAAGACGAACCTTTCTCCTATTTGTTTGGTATTACTCAGTCGTGACTCATCGTCACAACTTCATCGGCGTGTCTTCAAAAATCTCCAAAATTCCGTACGGGCGCCGACAACGAACAATGTAGTAGATGGGGTCCTCCCTCGCCTTCCGTCTCTCCCCAAACCAAATTACCTGATAGGCAGTCCGGGTCGATGGTCCTGTTGCAGCAAGAACAATCAATCGCGATAAGAGAGTGCAAAACGAATGTCGACTATAGGGAAAAAATTCGATTGAGGATACTGATCAAGGAGAGAAGCCAAATAGAAAACCCCTGTTCTTCGATTGAGGATACTGATCAAGGAGAGAAGCCAAATAGAAAACCCCTGTTCCGTGAAACCCTTTTTCACCATCCAACGTACGAATCTCCGGTCCAGAATTGCAAACGGAAATCAGAAGACAACGTGTACAATATCTTTAAGGCGGTGGAAAAGATAACGATGACCCAATTTTGAAGGCGGTCTGAAAAAAAAATATTATTTTTTAAAAGAAAACCGACGGCAAAGCAAAAAATAAGCGCAACGTCCGTGGCCAAAGTAGTAAATGAAGGAAAAAAGTGGCGAGAATTGGCAAAGTTTCCTGTTCCTCACGATTTTAACAATTAATAGTATATATAATCAATTAATAGTATATATATAATGTTTATATTATTTAATATATTTAGATATTGTAATAATAATATTTTTGAGCACAATAAGTATTGAACGACAATTTATTAGAATTTAAATATCGTGCAAAACATATATCAAACATATATTACATCTTCAAAATCATAAAAATTACGACTAGAACTTATATATTGTACATAAAGATTTATGCAATCTACGTATGGGGTAATCCATGCCGTAACACACAGTCTTCTGTAATGATTCCATTGTAAAAAGACAGGAGGCATCGAATATTCTTCTCTTAATACCACTCTAATGTAATGATTGTTATTTACGTGCCCAATTGCAATAGCAACCTGTTCATGCATTGGTGGTGTAGTAGATCGAAGCGAGAAGTATGTTGTACCGAAAACATTGCTTATAGAATGTAATATCACATTATGCTTTGAAGCAATGAGGATATCGGTTTCAGGAAAAAGAAACCAATTAGCACACTGTTCATTTATATCCGAACGAAATAAATTTATGGAATTGAAGATGTCAAATCGAAATTAACTCCCAAATATATCGTTATATTCTTCCCGGTATGTGTATAACTCCTCTAGTAAATCAACCCGAATTTTGGACCAATCATTTTCATGAAGACCAAGACAAGAAGCTATCGTGCGTAATCCATAATTTCCATCACCTAGTACATCATGTACATGGCTTATGTAAAGATGCAATATATATGGAAATTGATGAATGTATGAATCTGAATAGTTTCTTTGTACTGAGTATGAGTTATTCCTTGTTGGCTCTGGATTTCCCATGACATTAACCCCAATTTTAGAAGTGTTTGGAACATTTTGTCTGTGGGGTTCTTTATTTTTTGAAAGCCTTATGCTTCGAGCTTGGCCGACCACAATTATTTATTTTTAATAGCATGTTCACAAAGAGAAGTTGTCGATGAAAAAAATACGTACTTGAAATTTTGATTAAACATTTGCTCTTCATTATCACAACTAAGTTTGTTATCAACTTACAAGTATAACAAATTTGAATCAATTGAAATCATAATGATTGTTTAATATATTAAGTATATGAATAATAATAATACCTTGATATTAGAGAAATAATGTTTGGAGGTGTGCAAAATTAAAGCTGTATGCTTCTTCTATTTGAGATTCGACTACCGTCGCCCAACATCTGGTTAAGGCACACCAAATGTCTTGTGGCCTTATTGAAGTTCTACACCTTGTCTAATACTTTTAGATATATGCCATCTACAAAGTAAATGTTTAGTTTCTGGGAAAACATTTGTGCATGCTTTCATCAATGCAAACTCTCTGTTTGTGACGATGACTTGAGGGAAAACACATTTGGCTACTATTCACTTTAGACAATTTAATGCCCAGGTATAGTTGAATTCTTTTTCTTTATGCATAAATAGAAATGCTATGCAAAATGTCAAATTAGTTGAACTTACTCCAACAATCTCAAGAAGATGCATATTATACTTGTTTGTCTTATATGTAGCATCCATCAACATCACGCAAGGAAAAGCATGCCATAACTATAAAGATGTTTAATGCATGAAGAATAAATCTTCCAACTTATTAGATATATTGTTTGCATGATAAAATAAGTATAGCCTCCTTCTTGCAAAAACGAGAAAAGAACTTGCATTTCAGACTTACTTGCTTTCTCCTTCATTTTTATCTTATCTCGTGCATTGTATATGGTTCTTAGTGAAGAAACGTTTTCTGGATTTTGCTCCTTCAGTGTTGATAAGATATCGTGTGGCTTCATATTTTTTTTCTTGTCAAATCAGCCACTAAACGAGTTTCATTGTCAGACAGTCGCATTACAAATGCATAACCCTCCAATTGTTTTGCAGGTTCATGGTCATGTTTTTCACATACCACACTTAAAGTCCAACAGTTATACAACTTCGAATATTTACCCTTTAGTTGGAAGGGGCAATTAATTTTTTTATCCCTGTGTGTTTACTTGAAATTTTAGTACTTTTATATACACCACCACAATCACACATAAGTATAACTTTTGTTAAGAGCTCACTAAGAACCTTTCTTTGTTTGATGATTATAATATAGCCAAGAGAACGCCCCATCTTTTGAGTCTAATCTATTAAATATTGGCAAGATTCAAACCCCGGAAATTGATTTTATTGTTAATATGTGGTGCTATTATATGATTATATAACAAATTGAAATGTACAGTAATAATATTAAAAATCATACCATGTTAGTGGAAAATGTCGATATGTTATTTACAACTTCATTTGCTTCGTTTGGATAAAAACTCGTCATTGATGTATAATAAATATATTATAGTTAGATTAATACTTGAGATTTGAAAGATATGGAAAATGGTGATGGTGAAAGAGTACCGATTAAAATTTGTAATTGATAATGATAATCTTTATAGATTACTAGTATTTGGTATTTATAAGGGATGATTGCAATTTATTTTTTTGAAAACAATAAAAGTTGTAAATGAAATGAATGATTTTTCTATCATATTTTCAAGTCGTAAAAGATGATAGATATTTTTTGAAAATTTCTAAAAATCATTAATGTGATAATATATAAAAAAAGCAAGTTGTAAAAATAATTTGCAATTACTTTCTTTTTTATTGAGAATCACCATTACACCAAACAAATAATAAATAAATTATTTTTTGTTTATTGTAACTAAATTCAATGGGATAACATAATAGGCAATATAAAAATATTATAAATATAAATGTGAACAATATTGATATTTTATCATGTCATTTCCATCCTAAGGGTTGAAATGAATATAATTTCCCTTTTTAAAATTCAACCGTAGATTCGATTTTAAAGATAAGAATGAAAAGATAAGGTTTTTATATTAAATTATAATTTTGTAAATCTTAAATTATAATATAATTTTAGTGATGGTTTGTTATATATATATATATATAATATAATATTATATATATATATATATATATATATATATATAATAACAACCATCACTAAAATAATATTATAATTTAAGATTTACATATATTATTTAAAAATTAGTTTGTAGAGACGATTAGTTTTTTTGCGCAAATAATTTAATATATATATATATACTATATATATATATATATATATATATTATATATATATACTAGGTTAAAACCCGTGAAACCTACGAGTGTTAATTTTAAATAGAATTAAAAGAATTGATTGTGTAATAACATATTATATCATTAATTTAGAAAAACTTATGAATTGTAATAATGTATTTTTTTTAATAACTTTGTAATTTGTAAGTATTTAGTTACACATGTAAATCCACATATTTTATAAAAGCCATGAGTTTGTATAATGCAACATATTATCATTTTTGGAGCTTTATTTTTATTAAATACATGAAAGTTGTGACGCACTCACAAGACAAACGCGTGAGTTGTAAAAAAAATATTTATTCTTATTAAACCCTTACTTTTGGCGTATGATTTTTGGGAAGAAAAAAGTTTTGTTGGCTAAAACGTCACTTTTCCCATTGTAACTTACCACCCCAATAAATCATGAAAATGACATTAACATATGACAAATTATATATGCCGGTAATGTAATAATCATATATAAACCCAACAGAATAAATTATAAATAATGTGACTAAATTTAGGAAAATAAAATAAACAAAGTATTTTGGATAAACGTCACTTTTATAACTTGTGTACTACACGGTTGACAAAATAAAACAATATTTAAACTTTGAAAACCATAATATTAATCATATATTTTGTAAGCAGTTATTTTAAAAGATAGTTAGATATTTTGTACGTAACTTTTATAATTTTTTTAAAATGGTTTCAAGATATGAGCATTGTTCTTTATGTATAGATTAATGATAAAATGATAATATTGTATAATGAAATATAGTATTTAAAAAACCAAAAAAAAATAGGCACTTAATAATGAACATAACATTATTTTATTTAAAATTAAAAAAACTTTAAGATAATGTAAGAACTCTATATAAACACAAAACGATAAAAAATAATTACAAAATCAAAACGATGAATAAATATAGTTTATCAGTAAAAATACGGGATGTTATAAAAAACTTATAACATTTTTTTTTTGTAAATTTCTAAATATTTCTTTATACACAATATTAAAAGTTTAAGTATACGATAATATACACAAAATGGAAAATTTAGCAATTTGCCACAAGCTTGTTACCTATTTATAATTTATTGTTAGTTATCAAATTCTTATTGCTATTCGATTTTATTATGTATTTTAATTTTTAATCATTGGATATTTTAATATTTTCTAGTACTATTATCTCTATGTTAATATTATATATAGTATATACGTTGATAAGTTTGAATATATTTATTTGTGCCGGTAAAAAATAATATTTAAACTATTGATTCATTTTTATTGTATGAGATAATTTTTTATACAAATAATTTAATATTTAATCATCAACTTTTCATAGACATTTTTTAATTTTTGTTTTATATCAAGAAGATTTTTTGGCTAAGATCTTTGCAATCAACTTTCTCCTCTTGTTCATGGTAGATTTTGCTTCAAACCAAATAAATTAAATTAAAATTTATAAACCATATCAAACATCACTGCGACACATAATATTAAACCCCACATAGTAGAAACACCTTGCATAAACTTCAACCAAATCCATAGTCAAGTGATTATGCGAGAAAAAAAAATCCATGTTAAAAAAAATTACACACAAACCATCAGAACCTACAAATAACACATTCCAACATAATCAGACAGTCTATTTTTAATCAAGAATACTGCATAATCATTAATACTATAAATAAATACCAAATATTTAGGAACATGTACAAAAAGAATGAATATATGAAATCTTAAATATGATCCCTTATTTCCATTATCAATAAATTTTGGGCATAATAATATAAAGAAAAAAAGTAGGATG